CCGACCCCGCCCAGACCTTAGACCCCGCCTCGGGACCCCCCCCCGACCCCACCCAGACCCACGGAACCCCTCCCGTACCCCAGATCCCGCCCGAGGACCCCTCCCCGAACCCTCCCAGATCCCAGACCCTGCCCATGGACCCCTGTCTGCCCTGCCAAGACCCCAGAACCCCTCCAGGACCCCGCCCAGGGACCCCACTCCCACCCCAACCCGGCCCCAAACTCCCGCCCCAGGACCCCCCCTTCTTCCTGCCCAGACCCCCAGACCTCTGCACATTGACCCCTCCCCTGGACCCTGACCTGATATCCTGACCTGGGACCCCTCCCCGACCCCTCCTGACCGCAGTCTGCACTAGGAACCAAGGAGGGACTCTAGAGAAGGGACCCCCACCCGGATCCCCCACCCCTGCCCAGGACCCACCCAACACCCCAGCCCTGGACCCCGCACAGACCCTGGACCCCACCGCACCCCACCCCCGACCCTGCGCAGACCACCCTCATCATTGGAGTTCCACTGAGACCCACCCCCCCCAGATCCCTACCCAGAACCCTCCCAGGGGACACTTAAACCTGGCCCCACAAGGACCTCAATACCTGCCAGGGCCCAAGACCCCCACTCATATTCCCCTCCATTGTAACAGCCAGTGGATTCCAGACTCGCACCCCTGCACTCACTCGCATCCCCAGCAGAGACCAGGTACCCCTGCCAAGATGGGACACGCAGGATCCCACACTTCTCCAGAACCCTGACCCCTCCACCGGGACCCGGGATCTCCCCCCACTCGCTCCCCAGACCCAGCAGGCTGATTGCAGGGGGCACCCTAGCCCAGCACTAGCCTTACCCAGTCGCTGTACCCCTTTCCTCAGGTCAGGGGGACTGGCTTCCCATGGGGATGTGAGACACGAGGGACCCACCCCTGCTTGGTGCCTCCCCCAGCTGGGTTAGGAAGGCTCGTCTGGCCTTTGCAACCCTCTACAGAGAAACTGAGGCCAAACAGCCTTCCCGGGACCCCCTGCCAGATGAGAGCGTCATCGGTCAGCCCCGCTGGGCCAGGTGCACCCGGCAAAGAGCATCAGGGACAGTCATACTCTCCTTTGCCGCCCGTGTCCCACCCCAGAGGGTTTCCTGCATGAGCCCCTGCTGTGTGGGATGGGCAGCTCTGGCCCACTGTGTTCCTGGTGCAGGAGGGTTCCACGGGTGGGGGTCCAGGGTCTGGCAGAGGTCAGGTGGGGTCTGTGAACCGGGGTGGGGGGTTGAGATCCAGGTGGGGCTCCTGGGCAGGGGGTCCGGAGTCTGGGTGGGGTCTGAAGGGGTCCGGGCGGGAGTCCCCTGACCTAGGGTCTGGGCTGGGATTCCAGCAGGAAGCAGGGAGGCTGGGAGTTCTGAGAGTCTGAAAACAGAGACAGATGGACAGCATGTTATCCATGGCCAGCCAGTGCCTGGGGGAGACCCTGAAGACCCCTCCTCTTCTCTCACCCCATCTCCCCCTAAGTGTCTATATTCCCAGGAGGTTTCTGGAGCCATGGACTGGGGAGGGGGTGCTGATAGCCGCAGGCTTCCGTAGGCGCTTCCAGCAATGGTTTGAGGGGACCCCCTCCCCGAGTCACTCTCCTCCCGTGGAACCTGTTGCATATGGTTTTTATCACACTGGTGATAAGTCACCCCAAATGCGGCTGCTCAAACTCTACAAACTAGGATCTCAGCGCTCTGTGGGTGAGAAGTCCCCAGGGTGGGCTCCACTGGAGTTCCGCTCAAGGTCTCATAGGGTCCAAGTCGGGAAGTTCGCCCACTCACGGGGGCCCCCCGGGGCCGTGGCCTGGAGGAGCCTGTGCGGGAGCTCAAGGAGGTCGTGAACAGAAGCTAGGTCCTGGTGGTTGTGGGGCTGACGGCCCCCATCTCTGGGAGGCTGGCTGTCGGCAGGGGGCAAGCCTTCAGTCCCAGGGCCTCCTTGTTGCTCCGAGCAGGTGTCCCTCCGCATCCCCGTTCTTGGAATTCCTACAATTTCCCCTCCTGCCGCATCTCCGGGACCCCCGCCGCACCCAGTTCTCTGCTTTTGAGGGCTCACGGGATTAGAATGGTCTCCCCAGGTCAATCCAGGATTACCTGCCTATTTTAAGGCGCATACCGAAACTCCACCTGTAAAGTCCCTTGTGCTGTATGGCGGTGCATACTCACGGCTGCTGGGGGGATTCGTGCCCGGATGCCTTTGGGTGGCCCACCCCTCGCTAGCCGACGCCACCATGGTTTAGGACTTCCTGTCCCTTCGAGGATGTGAGGACCATAGCAGAGGGAGATAGATTTCACCTGCACCCCAAGAGGAAGATGAACCCCAGGGCTGACATCCGTCCTTAGAGAGAAAGGTGAAGCAGGACCTGGGAGGCCCGGCAGGGCGCTGAGAGCCGCTAGGTGTCTGCCTCCGGGCCACGAAATCCATGCAGCAACCCCTGCACAGGGCAAGGAGCTCGTGATAATCCTAAAAGCCGTGACAAAGTTTTCAGTGGTCCTTCGTTCAAAATCGGGGGTGGGGGAAAATACAATAAAGATGACTATGAATAATGCACGTCGTCTAGAAAGGGTGTGCAACATACAGCATGGGGTATCTATTGGTTTGTCACGGGAGAGACAAAGGGGCCCACACAGAGCATTGCTGGGAAGACCAGAAGCATCCTGTAGTTCCTATAGGCCCCTGACAGGTGCCACACAGGGCCACGCGGGCTTGCCTATGAGGACACAGTGAACCAGCAGGCTTTTGAGTACCCAGAGCGTAAGTAGCCCTGGTCCCCGTGGCAGGACGTGATAGCCTTGTTGGAATAATCCCTCAAGCCGGCAGGGACCTCAAGCCTACTGCTCAGGGGGAAGCAGGCTCCCAGCCTGGTCCCCGGGATAAGAAGGGTCATCTGGTGTGGGGACCTTATCAGTGGGAGCAGCACGGGGTGGAGAATTCGGAGTTAGGCTGGTCGAGGACTTCTGGGTTTTCTCCAGACCCCAAGGAAGCATGTGATGTTTATGATATGGGGCCCAAAGACTGGTCCTTCCACCACAGTGTGGTTGGGAGTGTGGGGTACGGAGAGGCACTGGAGGGCAGGGGGATCCCAGGGTTTCACGGATGGCCAAGGCCCGGCGGGAGCCTACAGAGACGCGGTGCGTGCATGGCTCAGGGGGTACAAGGACATTTCCCCACGAGTCTGGCGACACTGGTTAAAGCCGGTGTCCTGGAGGTACCATCCAAACTCGCCAGAATGACCAATGAAATGAAATGAAATGAAATAAATGAAATGAAATAAAATAATAAAATACAAGATAAATAAAATAAAGAGAAAATGAAATAAATAAATAAAATAATAAAATATACAGTAAAATAAAATGAGATGAAATAAAATAAATTAAATATAATAAATAAAATAAAATAATAAAAATAAAGTAAAATAAATACAGTGAAATAAATTAAATTATATTAAATTATTAAATAATCCGAGGCACCTGTTAAAAATGCAGATTGTCAGAAATCATCTCAGGCCAGCTGAGTCAGAATGTGCTGGTGAGTCCCTCGAATGGAAAAATAAAGACAAACAGAAACTGGAGAGAAGGCTGGTGTGGACTTTAACGTGTGGTTTGGGGGGTTTGGGTTGGTTTTTTGCTCTGTTTGTGTCTGTGTGTGACAAGGGTGTTTCTAGGTTTGCTTTTAAATTGTTAATATGAGGGACGCCTGGGTGGCTCAGTCGGTTAACCACCTGGCTTCCACACTCAGGACACACGATGCTTCTGGGGAGGGTTGCCCAGGAGGATATCACCCCTGATAGTTCTTGACGTATACCAAGTCCTTGACCTTGCTGGTCCAAATCCGGAATGTTCTTTGCATGCCCAGGTGTGCAGTAAAGAATCCACTTTGCACAAAGTCAGCTCTGGCATGGGCCCCTTGGGTTCCAGGAGGAAGACTCTGAGCCCCGGGGCATGCAGGTGGAGCATGCTACCATGGGATTTAGGGCTGGGGGGCTTTGGGGCATGTGGTCTCCACTTGATGGAGGTCAGGTGTCCAGGGAGTCAGCCGTGCAGGTTGGCGATAGCTGGGTGTTGTCATCTCTCATGGCTGGG